AAGGTGTCGATGCCCATGGGCGACACTCACACCTTGCTCAACTCGGGACAGCCTAGGCGGATCCATGCTTTCCAACGAAGCACGACCATCCAACCTAGGCGGGTGGAATCGATGCCCATGGGGACATCTCGGTATTTCGGGCGCATTCCGAATATACCGCCACCCACGGCCTAGGAGAATCCATGTCAGCCCATGTCATGACACGCCCATTCTCTTCGGCGACGGGGTGAAACGATGCCCGTGGGGACATCTCGGTATACCATGCGCTTTCCCAATATACCGCCACCCCAAGGCCTCGAAGAATCCGTGTCATCCCACGCATGACACGCCCATTCTCCGCGACCACTCAGCAATTTTTTGTCCGAGAACTGCTGAAAAAACTCAAAAACTGCGACAAAACCGATCGCCGGAAAAGTCGCCGGAAAAATTTTACGGCGATAATCCCGGCGGTCGGACGGTCGGACAGTCTGTCGGTCATGCCACCCGATAATATCCCTCGATCGCTACCCACGTCCGGAACCGAGTAGGGAGGTACCCTCGGTCTGCCCAGACTTCACCAACACCCACCCCCCTATATAGCTTTTTGTCCATTTTTGGGTCTGGCACCAGTGGAGATGCAAATGTCTGAGGAGTCACTGGTGCCAAAAAAAAAAAATACTTGGAATTTTGTTCTGATTTTTTGCATGCTTCATAAGGATAGTGAATCCTATTTTCTGGTAAATTTTCGTAATTTTAGGAGACCTCTAGCTAGGTCTTTCTGAGCTAAACCAACATCGGATGATCAATGGCCTAGCCCGAGCTCCGTGGGCACATTTGATGCAAGCTTGACATCCTACACTCTTTATTGAGTATTTTAAGACTTCGATCGTAAAAAAATGCATCCCGTACGATGAATGTTCAAAAGTTGGTTCGGCACATACTATTTCCTCGGCCATCCGGGACGTCCGGATGCGTATGATCGACGATCCATCGTACCTGATCGATTTTTTTTTCGCGGATTCCACGAACGTTACTCTATTGAGGCATTTTTAAGACTTTTTCGATCGTAAAAAACTTCATCCCGTACGATGATTTTTCAAAAGTTGGTTTCGGACATTACTATTTCCTCGGCCAGCCGACGTCCGGATGCGTACTGATCGACGATCCATCGTACTGATCGATTCTTTTTCTCGAGATTTCCACGAACGTTACTCTTCATTGATGCATTTTAAGAGTTTCGATCGTAAAAAACTTCATCCCGTACGATGATTTTCAAAAGTTGGTTCGGGACTTAGTTATTTTCCTCGGCCAGCGCCGTCCGGCTCGTATGATCGACGATCCATCGTACTGATCGATTTTTT